TTCCGAATATGCAGGAATATGTACCTTTTAGAGTCCATGTTCTTGAAGTCAGGGAGTTGCTTATACATCCAATCTTATGAACAGGAGAGTATTTTAAATTTTAGACTTCAGAGCAGAGCTGCTTGATGAGACTCATGCTGACCTCCCCTCCCAGACCATTCTGGTATTTTCAATCATTTAAAATATCTTGACTCTACTTTTTAGGACCCCAGTCACTATCCTCAGCTTACAGACAAGTATGAGAGTGCTTTAGAAGATCTTTATTCCAGACATCGCTGGAGTACAGCAAAGTACCAGGTTAGTGATGTTTTCTAAAGAAGTTGAAGTCTGGGCTCTTACTCCCTCATTTGGATGTATCCGCTTGTCTCTCAGAGAGTCTCAAGCTTCCTAAGCTGAAGCCTCCGTGGTAAAGTCATAACCTCCTTTAGTGTTCTTTAAAATTTCAAAATCTATGAAGAATTGCAACTGAAAACCAATCTAATGATGGTAATTTTCAAGAAAAATGTCTGTTTTTATCTTAAAGGCCATGTATTTTATGCCATGTCCTTGTCCCGCCAATGTGAATGAGCAGGCTAGCTTGCCGTATGCGTTCTTGCTTTCTGCCTGGCCTTGTGGGTGTTAGGACTCAGCCAAAGCCACATTTTGTGTCAGCACCATTGGACTGCTTTGATGTCATTTTCAGAGGAACAGAAAACAAAGCCCCTGAGGTTGATAAAAATGCAGTAATACTTTTTAAAAGAGTTGCTAATTTGCTTTATTTGAATGTGAAGATACTTTGCTCCTCCAACCCTTATCCTCCAAATGTTTTTTATTTAGTGAGAAACATCTTAGCGCTAAAAATAAAAGTTCTTTTTTTTATAATCGTTTTATTTAACTTTGTTTATTTATTTATTTTAATTTGACTAGAGAGGGACAGAGAGAGACAATGTGAAAGTAAGAAAGCAAGCCACCAGGTCAGGGACTCAAACCGCGATCAGCCATTTGGAAGTCAAGTGCCCTTAAACACCACACCATCTCCTAGCCCCCCAAATTAAGTTCTAAGAGATATTTTTGAGCTGCCCTAAAGAAGACAGATGATTAAAGAAAACAGAGTCCCACATGACTTTCAAATAGAAATTTCTGGGGCCAGCAGTTAGCGTAATGGCTATGTCACTGGACTCCCACGTAGTCAACTGCGGTTGGAGTCCCGGACCCGGTGACTTAAACTCACACCGGGCGCGGGCGCATGCGTGCCCAAGATCCCGAGAGGAGAATGGAGGAGAAGGGATTGCGGCATGACCATCCCCCCTAGGGGGTGATTTCTCGCTTTCTGTCTCTCTGCCTCTCTCTGTCTATCTGGCGAGTGCACGCGCCCTATAGCAAAAACCTCTAAAAAAAAAAAAAAAAAGAAATTTCTGCCACATTATAAAAATATTGCCTGGAAGTCAAACTGTTGGTAAATTTTGTGTGTTTTCCATTAAAATTATTATCAGAAAACTTGACCTTCAGAATGTTATTATATCATAACATGAAGCTTTTTAAAACATCATTGATTCTATTGTTTGAGTCAGTTAATAAAGCTCACAGTATGCTGAAACAAATATTGAAGTTGTTGTATATCCCTTGAGGTTTTAGGTTTAATATGTTAAAAAATTCAAATATGATGAATTCTTACAGCTGCCACTTTCTCTGATGTTCTGTAAAATTAGATAGCTCCAATCTTAGGCTTATAAATACCATAACATCACCTTGACAATGGAATAAGCTCCACAGTACAACAGTAATAACAAATCAATGGGTCTTCAAATCATCCAAAGAAACTGGAAATCTTCACATCATGTATGATCTTTAAAGGGAGTTTGTTATGATAGATTGCAAGACAGGTTTAGCTGTGGCAATCTCCCATATGATGAATATTGGCTTTGTTTTGCCTGTGTTTAGCACACACACACACACACACACACACACAACTAAAGCAACATCAGTGCTCATGATGAACATTTTCTTCCTAAATCAGTTTATTTGCTTTGAGAGCATTTTGACACAGCTTGAAAAGACCACCAGTTTGAAGAGACATTATTCTGCTATAGTAACTTTAGCCATATGACAAGCAGAGGCAAGTATTCAAACGTAACCCCTTTCATGCCAGTAGATTTAACACAACTGACAAAAGAAAAAAGAAAGAAAGAAAAAGAAATAAAAGAAAATTTTTTTATCTTCATCTAAAATGATCAGGGTCATATTTGACTATTCAATGGGACAAAGATATATTTTGGGATTTTTTTCCTCAATGTGGCAGGCCTCCCACATTAAACTTTCAAAAAACATTTTTTTCAATGCTTTGATGTGTTTCCTTAGTTAATAGTAAAAAATAGTTATGTCATAGAAAACCCCCAGAGCTTTAAAAAACAGGCAGGTGGACCAATGGAACAGAATAGAGGCCCCAGAAATAAACCCCAAAACATACAGCCAATTGATTTTTCACAAAGGGCACCAGGCAACCCAGTGGAGAATAGAATATCTCTCTATTAAATGGTGCTGGAAAAACTGGGTATCCACCTGCAGAAAGATGAACCTGAACTCCTATTTCTCATCATTAGCAAAAAATCAATTCAAAGTGGATCAAATATCTAAATCTAAGACCTGAAACTATAAAACTACTGATGGATAACACAGGGGAAACTCTTGGAGACAGTAGAGTAGGCAAAGATTTCTATATAAGACCTCCACAGCACAGGCAATAATTCCCAAAATAGACAAGTGGGATTACATCAGGTGAAAAAGCTTCTGCACAGCAAAAGAAACAATAACTAAAGTGAATTGACAACCCTTGGAATGGGAGAATATATATGCAAACTGTGCCTCACTTAGATGAGGGACTGTTAACCAGAATATACAAGGAACTCAAGCAGCTTACCCTCCCAAAAAATATTTGCCCCAATTAAAAGATGGACAAATGAGCTGAACAGACAACTCTCTAAGAAAGACATATGAATAGCCAAAAAGCATATGAGAAAATGATCAGCATTTCTTATTGTAAGGGAGATGCAAATCAAAACTCCAATCAATATGGGTAAGATTTTTTTCTTCTTTAAGAATTATTTTATTTAACTTTATTTATTTTTAATTTTTACCAGAGATGGACACACACACACACACACACACAGAGAGAGAGAGAGAGAGAGAGAAAGCAGGCTGCCAGGTCCAGACTCTAACTGCAGTTGACCATGTGGGAGTCCAGTGCCCCCAGGTGGCCCACCATGCCACCTGCTGGTGCCAATATGGTTAAGGTTAAAAAAAATAATAATGGTAAGTGCTGGCAAGGTTATGGTGAAAAGGGAACTCTCCTACGCTGTTGGGGGGAATGTAAATTAATACAGCCACTGTGGAGAACAATATGGATGCTTCTTAAAGACCTACAAGTAGAACTACCATATGATCCAGTAATTCCAGTCTTGGGTAGCTACTCAAAGGATAGGTATATACTCAGTTGGAAAAACACTTGCAAATCCATGTTTATTGCAACATTATTCACAATTGGTAAGACATGGAATCAACCCAAATGTTCAAGAATGGGTTAAAAAAAGTCTAGTCCATATATGCTATGGAATGCTACTTAGCGATAAGAAAACTAGACCCTTTATTTGGTAGAAAATGGATGAATATGGAAGATTTACTGCTAAGCAAAGCAAATCACACTATGAAAGAGATGCATTGTATGTCCCCACTCAATATATACCGAATGTCTCCACTTTATGGCAGAAATTGAAAGATTGAAAGGTATAAAAGCATGGGATCAACTGTGAGCACTAGACGCTGTTTGGGAGGGAGAGTGAGGAAATGTGGGAGGATGAGAGGGATGGAATTGAGGAAAAAAAAGGGAGGGAGACATTTAAGAAACAAAAAAATGGAGAATTATCTGTTGATGATTATGTGTATGGTAATATCTTTGACCGGAGTGATACACAGTGTATTTCATTCTGAAAACATTCTTTGTGTATGCTACAATGATATACAGTGATTGAATGGAAATAATGATAATAATAATAATAATAATAATAATAATAAAAGAGTAACAAAAGAAAATTCTCAGTGCTTTTGTAAGACTGTGTTTTCTTAGTGTCTAAGATAATGCATTTTCTGGAATTTTGATTTTCAGGATGAAAAGAGTCTCTTACTCTTTTAAAGTTCTTTTTTTAATTTTATTTCTGCCATGACAGAGAAAGAGGGAGAGAGGGAGAAAGACAGGCACCCCCAACAGGGTCTCCATGCTGCAATCCACCCCAGCCTCATCCAGTCTGGATATTAGGCCTTGCATGCCCAACCATGTACAGGGAGACCTCCAGATGGGAACCTAAGGCCTCCCCATGTAATTCCCTCATCACAGATTATTAGATTACTGATGCACCATCACTGTCAGCCCTTCTTTTCTTTTAAAAAATTATTTATTTAATTTTGTTTATTATCCAGCCCTGCTTAAAGTAAAAAAAAAAAAAAAAAAAAAAAAAAAAAAAAAAAAAACATGGGAGGAGGGCAGCTGATTAAGGTGGCTAGATCCCACATCAACTGCACAGTTCAAGTCCTAGACTCAGCAGCTTGAAAAATATGCCAAGCATATGTGCATGCATGCCCAAAATGCTGACAGGAAAATGGAGGGGGAATGGATGCATTATGGCTACCCTGCCTGGGGAGTGTTTTCTCACTTTTTCTCTCCCTTTCTTTGTCTCTTTCTCCAGTGAGCCCATGCACCCTGAAACCAAAAATAAAGAAAGATATGGGCGATCTTTCACTCTAGTGTTGTTTGAGCTGAGAACCAAATGCATAACTCAGCACTTCTGGGAATCTCTGACAGAGGAAATCAGTCCCTATAATCTGTAACATAGGAAAACCATACCCAATAGACCCTCGTAATGTTTTTTTTCTTATGACCTTCGTATCAGCTCCTCAGAGGAGAAGGAAAAGTGAACTGTTGAGAACACTTGGCCATGAGGACAGAGCAGTCAGCTATGTCAGTGGAGCTGCCGTGTGTATGTGTGTGGGGGGCTGCTTCAAATCCCAGCTCATGCTGATCCCGATGTGCAAAATTTTCTCTCATTTTCCTGACTGTATGTCCCTCACTCCAGGTCTTCCAGGGAAAGCCTCTGCTGGTCTGGCTTCAGCCCAGCACCACATGCAGTGCTGATACAGTGAGGGGCAAATGGAGCTGCCTATCATGCAGGCAGCTCCAGGCCCCAGAGCTGCCCTCTCCTTTTAGAGAATAGCTATGTGGCTGCTCAGCTGGAAGTTTTCCTGGAATTAAAAAAAAAAAAAAATTTATTTACATTCATTCACTATACATCAATGCAGAATACAAAATGAGATTTTCCATCCAGAATACACTGTATATTGGCTCAATCAAGGCTATTACCATACATGTTACCATCAACAAATAATTTTTCATTTCTTGTTTCTTACATATTTTGCTTTATTCCCCCCTTGGTTCCCTACCTCTCACCCTCTGCCATCTCCTGCCCTCCTCCCACACTGTCTTCAGCATCTACAATTGTTTTCCATGCCTTCTTCCCCACCACACACACATACACTTTATTGATTCACAGAAGATCTTAATTAATCTAAAAACTTGCAATGGCAAGCACAGCTGATATATACATATCTATGAATACATGTCTGACTTTGGGTGTAAACCTCAGTGAGAAAAGTGAACATACTATAAAGCAGCACCTTACTGGGGCTATATAGCTTACTACAGTCATTAGATAGGTATTTTATAATGCATTTTTTTTTAATTTAAAGAAAAATAGTTTTAGTTTTAATAGATCAAAATCAAAAAATGTTGAGAGAAATTTACTTAAGACTTAAAGCCAGGTAAAAGGTTAGCATTCAGTTCAAACAGTAGGTAGATGAAACTATCAGTAGTTCAAGAGAAGACAAAAGTCCTTAAATATGGAAAACAAAGCATAGAAGAAAATCAGTAATGTTTTGGTCAAAAGTCATAAAACTCTATTTCACTGGTTCAATGTCTTATAATTGATCTTTCTTCTATTGAATTTGCAGTGTTACTGTAGCCTGATCTTTCCTTTTAAACTTTGGAAGTTAACATTTATTTCCAGGCTTGTCCCGACCATTAGGTTGGTTGTTGTGTGACTCTTATTTCTGTGTGTTCAACTTTAGCTTTCCTGGCATAGTATTCCGCTCAGCACTTCTTGGAGAGAGGGTCTGGTGTTGGTAAATTCTTTCAGGTTTTACTTATCTGAGAATGTTTTTGTCTTTTTTTTCCCATATGAAGTATTCTTGATTGTAATTGTTTTTCACTTAACACTTTGAATATATTTTCCCATTCTTTCCTTTTTTGCATTGTTTCTGATGAGAGGTCTGCTGTTAGCCTGATGGGATATCCTTTGTAGGTAACTTGCCATTTTTCTCTTGCCAATTTTAGTGTCTTGTCTTTGTGGTTTTGGTCTATCTGACTATAATGTTCCTTGGAGAAGATCTTGGGTTGATTCTTTTGGGGATTTGGGGTCCTTAGTATTTCTTGGGTCTGGGTATTTGAGTGCCTCTCTAGGTTTGCAAAGTCTATTTCCAGGATTATCAATAGGTTATCACCGCCCTTATTGGTTTCTTCAGCTTCTGGCATGCCAATAATTCAGATAGGGCATTTAGTGGTATCTAGTATTACTTGTATGTTATTATCATTTTTTGGGTTATTTTCTCAGTCTTTTTGGTGAATTTTTCTAGGTCAGAGGTTCTGTCTTCTACATCTGAGATTCAGTCTTCTGCATGATCTAATCTGCTTTTTTTTTTTTTGAGAGGTTTTTTGCTATAGGACGCGTCGTGTGCTCACCAGAACCAGAGAGACAAAGAGAAACAGAAAGCAAGAAATCACCCCCCGGGGGGATGGCCACACCACAGTCCCTTCTCCTCCATTCTCCTCTTGGGATCTTGGGCATGCATACACATGCACCAGGTGTGAGTCTAAGCCACCGGGTCCAGGACTTGAACCGCGGTCGACAACATGGGAGTTCAGTGGCATAGCCATTACGCTAACTGCTGGTCCCTAGTCTACTCTTAATACTTTCAAGGGAAGTTTCAATTTCCTGTATTACAGCCTTCATCTCTAACAATTCCATTTGACTCTTTTTTAGGGTGTATTTCCTCTTTCAGATCATGCAAGAACTTCCTTACCTCCTGGAACTTATTGTCTCTTTTCTCCTGCATCTTTTGGAGTTCATTGTCTCTCTTCTCTTGCATCTCTGTTATCTTTGTCACTATGAATATTTTAAATTCTTTATCTGACTTTTCCATAGTTCCCTTGTATTGTCTGTCTATAGAGGAGGAAGAGTTATTCTTTTCTCTTAGGGGAGAGATATTTTCTTGGTTTCTCATATTTCTTGTGCATCTGCAGTAGTTTCTGGTCATCTGACAGATATATACGTTTTTTTTCCTAGTTTTTAGAGTTAAATCTGACCATTCAGAGGCTTCGGGAGGAAGTGACCTGCAATATCTAAAGAGTACTGTTTTTCTCCCGTTGTGCAGCTGATTCAAGGAAAACTGAGGATTAATCTGACCTTAAAAGTATTCAGATATTTGGCTACTGAGCACCTAAGACCTGTCTAGAAACTCACTGTGTGGAGGCTGAGTAGAAAAGTCAGAAAGGTAAAAAGAAAAGGAAAAGCCAAAGAAAACAACCTAAACAAAGAGAAAAAAAGACAAAAAAAAATTTTAAGCAAAAAATGAAAACTGTGCAACCTGCAGAACTCAGATATAGATGGCTGGTTATTGGCTTGTCCTGTGGGGGTGGGGGGAAAGGTAAGAATTAGCAAGACAAAGAGCTACAGAGAGCTAAGAAGTTTAAAATTTAAAACTAGGGAGATGGAGAGAGACAGAATAAATAGTGTGTTCTAACCTGGCTCCTGTCTAGATCTGAGGGGACAGCCAGATGAAGTCTAGCAGATCTTCAGTGACCCTAATGCCCAGTTTTCCTGGAATTTTTACCTCCCATCACCATTGCCCTTGGCAGCCACAGCCTTCACCCCAGTCTCTGAGTTTGGCTCATGTCATATCTCTTAGTCCCTTTTCTTTTTTTCTTTGTAACTCTAATTCATCTTCTCCCAGTATCCACCCTACAAGGAAAGCTAACAACTCTTATGTGAAATATCACAGGAGCATTATATTGCTTGGCCTCTATTTTGGTTAATGAAACATGTTTAAGATACTCACAGAAACAGTAGCAAGACATTTTTCTCTATGGGTCTCTAAGGAAGAGTAACATTAGTAACTCATTCCTCAAAGTGTAGTTCCTTTGGCTTCATTCTTTACCAGGATTGCCTCAGGTAAGGATTTTACCAATTATTTCTTAGACTTCCCCACTCAAAAAAAAAAAAAAAAAAGTTATTCTGGTTGAATTCATAACCTCAATAATTTGTATAAACATAATCATGATATCATCGTGTTCTTTTATAAAATACTTTATGTGCCCTGCTGAGATACAGTTGGTAAACTATTTTTGAAAATAAAATTTTAAAAAATACATGAGCATTAGCAAAAGGACATCATTTTATTTTAGCAGGAGAAAATATCTAAGTTAGTTTACTTACACAATTGAAATTTTCATTGGAGATGTCTGTGGTCTATATTCAAAAATTTAAGAAAAAAAAGAAAAACAATATCACAGACATAAAATTCAATTTGCCTATTGAATTTTTGTAATCGACTTATTGTTTCAGTACTGTTATTAATAGTGAGTTCTTTTCATTCTCAACAACGTTCTGATATGGGTGTAAATTATAAATTAGGTTGTCAGAAAAGTAATTCAGTTTTCTGTGTTTTTCTATGCAAAACATGTATCACATAAGTTTTCCAACAACCCAATAGTTACCGTCTTATGGAACATGTATATGACATGATTATTTTTATTTTCCTTATAAAAATATATAAATTATACATTTGTTATTTTTTAAACAGAATGTAGACCCAAAGCAACCTCCTCAAGACCCGATTGGCCATCCCATCATGCATCTGTCTGGTATTAAGCATGCCACGGGGGAAGCCATCTACTGTGACGACCTGCCGGTGGTGGACCGGGAGCTTTTCTTGACTTTTGTAACGAGTTCAAGAGCTCATGCTAAGATCGTGTAAGTGGTAACATGCTTACCCAGTGAGCATTACCGTTGCTTTTTAAATTTAAGTCAGATTAGTAAAAGTAATGATGTGAAAGGGGAAGCTCTTTGTGGCCATATCCAGACAAGAGGTGAAATGGGATAAAAGATGAGAAAAACCACATTTAGTATGTTGTGATGATGCTCAGGGAATGAATGTTAATTAATTAAAAAAAAAGTTTCAGGAGAAATAAAACCACTAAAACTGTCCTTATTAAAATTAAAAAAAATGCATATTTGATGACTGCAGTAAGCTATATAGCCCCAGCTAGGTACTACTTTATAGTATGTTCATTCTGCTCACTGAGGTTTATGCCTAAAGTCAGACTTGGATTCATGCATAGGTATATATCAGCTGTGCTAGCTATTGGATATATTTAGACGAATTAAATTCACTAGCAAATTAATTAAATGGGGGGAAAGGCATAGAAAGTAACCATGGATACCAGAGACAATGTAGGAGGAGGGTGGGACATGGCAGAGGGTGAGGGATAGGGAATCAAGGA